TCAGTAAGCACTACACCTCAACGTAAAGAAAACAGAAATACTCACAGCTGGACCAATAAGCAACATCTTGATAAATGGAGAAAAGATTGAAGTTGTCAAAGATTTCATTTTACGAGGATCCACAATTAATGTCCATGGAAGTAGCAGTCAAGAAATCAAAGATATATTGCATTGGGCAGGTGTGCTACAAAGGACCTCTTTAAAGTACTCAAGAGCAAAGAGTCTCTTTGAAGACTAAGGTATGCCTGACCCAAGCCATTGTATTTTCAACAGCTTTATATGCATGTGAGAGCTAAACATTGAATAAGGAAGAATTGATGCTTTTGAATTGTGGTATTGGTGAAGAATATTGAAGGTACCATGGGCTTCTAGAAGGACGAACAAATCTGTCTTGTAGAAAGTACAGCATGAATGTTGTTTAGAAGTGAGAATGCCTAGACTTTGTCTTTCATACTTTTGTCGTGTTAGAAGGAATCAGCCCTCGGAGAAGGATATCATGCTGGGTAAAGTGAAGGATCAGTGAAAAAGCAGAAGACTTTTTACAAGATGAATTTGCAAAATGGCGCAACTGTGAGCTCAAGGATAGCAAAAAATTGTGAGGATGGCACAGGACCAGGCGGTTTTTCATTCGGATGTACACAGGATCACTGTCAGCTGAGATGAATTCGATGTTGTCTAACAACAATAATAATTACAAGATCCTTGAATGGTACAAACAGTTCATGCTTGACTACTATTCTAAAGATTGGTGGTTTGAACCCACCCAGTGGCCCCACAGAAGAATACCCCAGCAGTCTACTTCATCAGAAATTGTAGCCAAGAAAATACTATGGAATTAAGTTCTACTCTGTATAATCCAAGGGGTGGTCATGAGTCAGAATTGACCCTAAATGGTAACAGTAAAACCACAATATAAAAAAAACAACATTTCTAATTAATCTTTTCCTACGAATAAACTTTCTAGATAAGCTTTCACCAAAACCAAATTCTGCCATCGAGTTAGTTCTGACTCATAGCAACCCCCACTGGGTTTCCAAAGCTATAAATCTTTATGGAAACAAACTACTTCATCTTTCTTCCATGGAGTGACTGATGGGTTTGAACCTGTGATCTTTTTGATTGGCAGTCAAATGCCTTAAACACTACACCACCGGAACTCCTAATTGAAAGCTCTAGACTCTGTCTTATCAACTGATTTTAAATATTGTGCTAAATATTCACATAAATACAGAAATAAACAAATACAAAGTAATTTTGAGCTTACCTAACTGTGATAAGTAACTGTTGATCTAGGGTCACTGTTCTAAATCTTGTCTTAAAAGCAGACTCTTTCCAATGATCAAAAAGTTTTATGCACTCTGTTTATACTGAATGATGGTCCTTTATCTTTTTCTCTGCCCAAGCATACTCTTGGAACAAAAAAACACTCCTTTCAATTAGAGTGACTTCTGTAGGATAGATTTTTGGTAAGGATTATATAGTTTGAAGGCAGAACAGTACAGGCCAAGTCATTCTCTTCGGTGCTAAGAGTAAGCAAGAAAGCCTTCTGAACCTGTTGTGGGGAGTGTTTGTAAACTTGCAAGTTTTGGCAGAGGTGTGATCTGTTTATCCTGGGATTTTGTCACTTATCAATGTTATCAAGGGACTAATTGTGAGGGAAAAAAGACGTGCTTTATGAAATCTTCTATTTATGGAAGTTGAAAATAATTTTTTTTCATGATTAAAAGGGCAATTTATTTTTATATATACAGTTTATTTTTTTGTAGTTGAGAATATACACAAATTCACCAGCTTCTATATATACAATTCAGTGACATTGAATACATTCTTTGAGGTATATAACTATTCTCACCCTCCTTTTCTGAATTGTTCTTCCTCAGTTAACATAAATTCACTGATTCTAAGATTTCTATCTAATCTTTCAATTGCTGATGTTAATTAGATCCTGTATAGACACATCTTAAATAAACAAAAGGTTCAAAGCAGACACTATTTACTACTTAAGCTAAACTATTCACTGGTTTTAAGACTTTAGGAGAAATTTTTAGTTTAAGGTTTAAAGATTTTTCTCATGACAGTAGTTTCAGAGTTTATCCATCCTCCATGGCTCCAGAAGGTATGGGTTCCATGAGAATTTGAAACTGTTCTGCATTTTCTCACTTTTGATCAGAATTCTTGTGTGGAATCTTTAATCAAAATTTTCAGTAATGGTTGTCAGGTGTCATTCAGTTCTTCTGGTCTCATGGCAAAAGAGCCATTTGTTCATGGAGGCAATTAACCACACATTCCATTCCCTCCTATTCCTGAGTCTTCTTCCTCGTTGCTCCAGGTGAATAGATACCCACTGTTGCAAGCTTCTAAGACCTCAGGCATTATGCAATGAAAGTACAACAGAAGCAGTAAACACATTGTTATGCCAATTAACTGTGTTGTCCCATGAAACTATGCCCCTAAATCTCCAAATCAAGGAACCAAATCCAGTGAGGTGTTTGGTGGTACCTAAGCAATATTTTGGATATTTTATAAAGCTGAAAGGGGTCGAATGAACAAGAGGACATAACCATAATAAATATCTATACATTCAATAAAAGAACCCTCAAATGCATAAATGAAACATTAACAGAATTGAAAAGAGAAATAGACAACTTTGCAATAATAGTAGGAGACTTTAATACATGATATTTGATGGAGAACAGAACTAGAAAAAATTTGACAAAGACCCACAGAAGACCTAAACAGCACAATCATCCAAATTGACCTCAAAAACACTCTACCCAGCAACACCACAATATAAATTTTTTTCCAGAGTACATGGCACATTCTTCAAAATAGACTATATTTAGACCACAAAGCAAGCCTCAGTAAATATAAAAACATGGAAATACTACAAAGCATCTTCTCAGATCACAACACCATAAAATTAGAAAACAACAGGAAGATAAAGGGGAAAAAAAATGAAATAACATGAAAACTGAATAACACTCTGCTTAAAATTACTGGGTAATAGGAAAACCATTAAGTTGCCATTAAGTCAATTCCAACTCATAGTGACCCCCATTGGGTTTCCAAGGCGACAGGCCTTGAAGTAGATTGTTCCATTTTCCTTCTGTGGAGTGGCTGGTGGGTTTGAACCACCAGCCTTCTGGTTAGCAGTTACATGTCTTAGGCAGTGCACCACCAGAGCTCCATTTACTGAGTTATGGAAGAAATGAAGTAAAGAATCCCTTGACATGAAGGAGAATGAAAACACAGCATACTAAGACCTTTGAGGCACAGCAAAAGTAGTGCCCACAGGGTAATTTATAGTAATAAGCACACATATCAAAAAAGACGAAAGAACCAAAATCAAAACCTTAATCAAACAATTCCAACAATTAGAAAAATAGTAGCAAAAGAAGCCTACAGTAAACAGAAGAAGATTTGAGCAGAAATAAATGAAACAGAACAAAACCAATAGAACCAACAAGATTAGAAGTTGGTCCTTTGAAAAATGCATAAAATTGACAAACCACTGGCAAATCTAGCAAAGGAAAAGGAGGAGAAATATAAATAATAAGAAAAATCAGAAATGAAATGATGACATCACACAGAACTAACTGAAATCAAAAGGATAATAACAGTACTATGAAGAACTGTACCCCAATAAATTTGAAAACAGAAGAAATGGACAAATTTCTAGAAACACACAACTTACCTAAACTAAAGCAGACTTAGAAAATTTGAACAGACCCATCACAAAAGAAGAAATTGAACAGCATAAAAAACTCCCAACAAAAAAAAAAAGCCCTGGCCCAGATGTCTTTACTGGCAAATATTACCAAATGTTCAGAAAAGAACTGAACTAAGTATACTCAAACTATTCCAGAATATAGAAAAGAGAGAATAAGCCAGCAGTCATTCTGTTACCGAAGCCAGGCAAAGATACCTCTCTAAAAGAAAATTACAAACCAGTATCTCATGAATGTAGGTGTAAAACTTCTCAACGAAACCCTACCAATAGAATCCAACAAGATATCCGAAACGTAATACATCATGACCAAGTAGGAACCTTACCAGGTATGTAGGGATTGTTCACCATTAGAAAGCAATCAACATAATCTGTCACATAACTAAAACAGAGGAAAAAAAGAGACATGATCAGATCAATTTGTGCAGAAAAGGCGTTTGGTAAAATCCAAACCCATTCCTGGTAAAAACTGTTAACAAAATAGGAATAAAAGGGAAATTCCTCAGTGTAATTAAGGCTATTGTGGTTGTTACGGTCATCTGTCAGCTTGGCTGGGCCTGGTTTTGAGTGGCTGGGCAGCTGGATATAGTTATTCCCCATAGTGAGATTGATAATCATCTCCAGAGTGGAATCTACTGGAACAGCTGAGTAGCTGCTTTAGGAATGTGGGCTGCTTCCAGTATATAAGAAGCACCTTTGAGGAAAGTCTCTAGCTTTTGGCAGTCTTGAATCCTGCATGTAGCTGACTTGTTTTTCAGCAGTCCGCCGTGGTGTCTGCTAATCTTGGGACTCTTAATGGACTTGAATCAATGGCTTGCTATGTGGTTTGTTAACATCGGGACTGTGCCTTTTTACTTGTTGACCTTGGGTTTGTCAGCTTGTGCAGTCAGCAGCTGCCTGAGTGAGGAAAGCCTCCAGCTTCAGTGGGCAGGAAGCAGGAGGAGAGCTGAAGCCAAGGTCAAGGGGCTTTCACCCAGACCCTTGAGGATGAATTTATTTTTAGGTTTTGGTGTGAAACTAGAAACTTACTTGGAAACTCTGTAATAGGTATTTTTGTCCCCCATGACAAAAATTGAGTGTCATGAATTGAGTGTATAAATTATTATTTTTCTTATTTGCTAAAACCATGAGTTTTTTTTTGGGTGGGACTTAAGAAATAACAGTAAATGTTTCAACCAATGTGAGAATAAAATTATGACACACTATTGAAAGATAATGTATGTAGTTTTCATACTAATTGTAGCTTTCTATGTGTGAATTTATTTTACTTTAGGACAAGACTGAGACATCATCTTTAATAATAAATAACAAATTGACTTGTAGTGAAATAGGTGAAGTACTTAAGGACAGCGAGATTAAAACCTCTTCTGGAAGAAAAAGATCAAATGAAAGTGAGCTTCTTCCACAAGATGAACCACCAGCAAAGAAAGGTACTGCTTGAGCTGCCAGCAGGGGCCTTTCAGAAAGTGAGCTCTAGCTCCTGAACTAGAAAACCGAAAAGTTCGGAGAGGAGGGAATTTGCTTGTCTAAGAAAAAAGAAAATGAGAAATCTAAGTATTACTGATACTAATTTTTATGTGAATGTGCTATTATAAATTGTCAGAAGGTCAGTGTATTTAAAGCTACCTTTTATTTTATTGGATGTTTTTAGATATTGTGCTTTATCACTTGTTTCTTTTGCGTGCCTATAATTATTCCTTTTGCTTCTATGCTTAGTATAGTTAAAATGTAACACTTTCGTTTGTGTAAATTATGGTAGTATATATTTCTGCTAAAATCCCTCCACATTTTTTTTCTTTCCATTCTGGAGAACAGGATTTTTGACAGTAACACTTTGAGCTAAATACTGCTGAAGACAAATGTTCTCAAGTTGTATTTACTACAGAAATGTAAAGAAAATGTGGGTGCTGCATCTTTAGACACTATACCTCTCTGTGTATGTGGAGAAACATACCAACTTTTTTCCCTGCTTTAAAAAAGATATGTTTCATTGTCATGGTTCTTAATCTCTCAGCTATTGAATATTTCTTTTAGAAAATATTTATAATTCATATAGGGAGGTAAGACTTTCTAAAACAAAGTGCCTTAGCTTTAGAAATCAACCCTGACGCTTGCGGTTAGCTGGTTCACCTTGAGGAAATTGGTTATGTTGTAATCATTACAACATACTACTAGCCTCCTGAGACTATCAAGGATGAATAAAATGCAACATAATAAACACCTCCAGTAAAAGATGTATCTTCAAAATTATATATATTAGGATACAGTACAGCATTGGATACATGGTTTTCAGTGCTTGTACGAGCTAAATTGGTAAGACTAATATGCATAGTTCCTCGGAAGGAAGGTTGGGCAATCCTACTTCCGTAGTGATACTGCCTCGGAAACCCAAGGAGGGGTCGCTATGAGTCGGGGCCTACTTGACGGCACATAACAACAACAAATATGCATAGTTAACCAGCCAGCTGCCAGCAAGTCAGTAGTGACTCCTGGTGACTTCGTGTGTCAGAGTAGATTTGTGCTCCATAGTGTTTTTTTCATGGCAGTGACCTATTAGAAGTATATTAGATTCACAGGCCTTTGTTCTGAGCCACCTTAGAGTAGACTTGAACCACCAGTCTTTTGGTTAGCAGGCAAACATGTTAACTGTTTGACTATCCAGGGACTCCACTATGAGTAGTCAGAGTACTAAGCCTTCTGTTATCCATTGAAGAAGGGCACATTTTCTAATAGGAGGATAACCTTGCTTTGATTTTCATAGTACTGTTTCTTTCATTGAAGGAGATTGGTAGTGCAGTGGTTAAAGTGCTTGGCTGCCAACTGCTTTCTTTTTTCTTTTTACTTCAACAGCATATTTCTGGTTTTCATTAAGTTTATTGTTTCATGTTTAGTGTTATTAGAGTTTGCCAGATTAATAACATTTTTTCTTTAATCTTTAAAGGTCTAATACATATTAGCCCTTCTATCTCTGAAGACCACAGGAAAAGTGAAGATATGCAACAAAGCATTTTCAAAGAGGAAGACATTAGAGTTTTGCAAGAAAATAATGCAGAGCTGAAAACACGTTTGCTTGTTGTTAAGAATGAACTTATAAATGAAAAGGAAGAAAAAGCAGAATTAAATAAACAGATTGTTAGTTTACGGCAGGAACTTTCTTCTGAAAAAAATTTTACTTTAAGTATAGAGGTCCAACAAATGCAATCAAAATATGAAAATGCAGTTTCTGAATTACATGTACAGAGAGGTATAAATCAAGAACAGGAGGAAAAGATTATGAAACTATCAAAGGAGATAGAAATTGCTAGGGAGAATATCTCAAATAATGTTTCACAAATAAAGTTAATGCAAACAAAAATAGATGAACTACGTATGCTTGATTTAGGCTCTCAGATCTCAAACATAGATTTGCTTAGTCTCAGGGATCTGTCAAATGGTTCTCATGACTTGCTGAATACAGATTTAGACCTTCTAAGTAATGACTGTTTGGTAAGTAAGCAGGTTAAAGAATCTTGTATTCAAGAACTCAGTCGGGAAAGTTCTTTCCACTGTAGTATTGAAGCCATCTGGGAAGAATGTAAGGAGATTGTGAAGGTTTCCTCCCAAAAAAGTCATCAGATCCAGGAACTGGCTCAAAAAGTTGAAAAACTACAGGCAGAGGTGAAAAGCTATAGAGATGAAGATGATAGACTAAAAACAGAGAGGGAGAATAAAAATCAAGAGGACCTACTAAAAGAAAAAGAAAGTCTTATACAACAGCTGGAAGAAAAGCTGCAAGAACAAACTGTTTGTCTTAATGTTGAAGTACAGCATGTGCTTGAAGGGAAGAGAGCACTCTCAGAGCTTACACAAGATGTTACCTGTTACAAGGCAAAAATACAGGAACTGGAAACGATCTTAGAGACACAGAAAGACAAAAATAGTTGTTCAGCCAAATTAGAACAAGAAATTTTGGAAAAGGAGTCTGTCATCCTTAAGCTGGAAAGAAATCTGGAAGAATTTCAAGCAAATCTCCAGGATTCTCTCAAAACCACCAAAAATTTAAGTGAACAAGAAGTCCAGTTGAAGGAAGAAATCACACAATTAACAAATTATATGCAAGATGTGAAGCACTCACTTCAACTTAAGGAAGAAGAAAATGAAAACTGCAGGCAAGAAATAGAAAAGTAAGCTAAATATTATTAAGATATGCAAAGCATTCATCTTACTATGTTTTGTGTGTATGTGTGTGAAGGTAAACCATTTCAACAATTTCTGTGTGTACTATTCAGTAACATTGATTGCATTCTTACTCTGTCACTTTTGAACAATGAGATGGGCATAACTTAATGTGGTAAACATTGAGTAAAGAGTTTATACTTTGTTTCATACAAATCTTTGAAGCCAAAAGTTCTGTGCAGAGATTTGCTCATGAAATCCTCTCTGAAGGACTATCTCTTTTGCAGTTTGGATATTTCAAATTTGAGAAAAGATGTAATTTTGTGAAGATTGTTACCGCATTACTTGTGTGGTCCTACTTGGTTAATGGTGCATAATTACAGAAACACAATTTGTGTTTTTTAGATTGAAAGAGGAGCTGTCTATAAGCTCTGCTCTTAACAAGACTCTGAAAGTTGATCTTCAGAGGAGAGAAGAAGATTATACTGAGCTAAAAGAGAAACTGACTGATGCCAAAAAACAAATTGAGCAAGTACAGAAAGAGGTAGGTTATTTGAAAAATTGTCTGGTAATTTATTTTTTTTTTTT